TTAAAACACACCCACAGTTTAAATTTAGCAGCTTCACGGGTAAAGCTGAGAGCTGAGAAAACAACCTGGCAGGTAAATATAAATGCACTTCCAAACGCTCCCAAAGGGAAATGTCCTGAAGTGCCCCAGGGAGTCCCACAGGGGCTGGGATTGCAGCCCCCAGCACACCCAGGGGGTCAGGGGGCTCCAGAGCAGCTGGTGCTCAGCAAACACAGGCAAAATCTAACAAAAATCATGGAATCACACAATGGTTTGGGTGAAAGGCCATCTTGAAGTCCCACCCCCTGCCATGGGCAGGGACAACTTCCACTAGCCCAGGTTGCCCCAACCTGGCCTTGGGCACTTCCAAGGATGGGGCAGCCACAGCTTTTCTGGGAAATCCATTCCAGCCCCCCACCACCCTCCAGGGAAAAATTCTTTCCCAATATGCCATCTAACCCTGCCCTCTGTCAACATGAAGCCATTCCCCCTTGCCCTGTCCCCCCACCCCTTGTCCAAACCCTCTCCAGCTCTCCTGGAGCCCCTTTGCATCCCACGCTGCACACGTCGGCACAGACAACCCACTTGGGAACATCACACTCTTCCTCTGCAAGAAATCCCTCCCCTCTCAGGCCATCCTGGAGCCTTCCCTGACAGCCTGACCTCCCCATCCCAGCTCTCCTCCCTCCCCCGGAGCAGCAGGCAAGGCTGGAATTCCCGGGAAGGTGGGATTTCCTGACCAGAGGGAGCACAAGGGGTGGATGTGGGAGGGGATTCCCTGATTCCCTGACCAGAGGGAGCACACTGGGTGGATGTGGGAGGGGATTCTCTGACCAGAGGGAGCACACTGGATGTGGGAGGGGATTCTCTGACCAGAGGGAGTGGGAGGGGATTCCCTGACCAGAGGGAGCACAGGGGGTGGATGTGGGAGGGGATTCTCTGACCAGAGGGAGCACACTGGGTGGATGTGGGAGGGGATCTGACCAGAGGGAGCACACTGGGTGGATGTGGGAGGGGATTCTCTGACCAGAGGGAGCACACTGGGTGGATGTGGGAGGGGATTCTCTGACCAGAGGGAGCACACTGGGTGGATGTGGGCGCTGATGATCTTGGCGATGCCCCTGGTGAGGAAGTCCCAGATGACGATCCTGCCGTCGTTGCAGCCCACGGCGAGCAGGGTGCCCCAGCGGTTGAAGGTGCAGGTCAGGGCCATGCTGATGCAGTCCAGGGTCCCGTCCGCCTCCTGCGGGGGGGCAGAGCAGGGCCGGGGGCGGGTCAGGCCGCGCCGCCGCCCCCACGGGCCGCTCGCAGCGAGCGCCGGGCCGGGGGTGGCCCCGGGGGCGGGGGGGGCGCGTTACCTCGGGGTAGTTCTGGCCGAAGGATTCTGGGGGGGAGCGAAAACGCAGCCGGTGAGGGAGGGAGGGAGGGAGAGAGGGAGCGAGGGAGGCGGTTCTGCAGCCCCCGGCACGCCCCGCTCAGCGCCGGTGGCTCCAAACCCGCCCGCGGGTGGAGCCGCTCCCACCGCCCCCCAGCCCCGGAGCCCCCCGAGCTCAGCCCGCTCCCGCCGACCCCCAGCCCCGCTCCCAGCTCCCGGTGCCGCCGAGCCCCGGCTCCAAACCCTCCTGCGGACGGAGCAGGGACCGCCCGGTCCCACCCCCCGGTCCTGCCCAGCCCCGCAGTTCCCGGACCCCCGGCCCCGCTCCCGGCCCTGTCAGCTCCAGTCCTGACCCGGTCCCGCAGATCTCCAGCCCGTATCCGGCCGCTCCCCGGTCCTATTATCCCCCGGTCCAACCCCGCTGCTCCCGGTCCCGCCGACTCCCATTCCCAGCCCCATTCCCATTCCCAGCCCCAGTCCCAGTCCCGCCGCTCCCGATCCCATTGCCCCCTCCTTTCCCGTTCCCGTCCCCATTCCCGCCCCCGTTCCCGGTCCCACTCCCAGCCCCATTCCCGCCCCCGTTCCCGGTCCCACTCCCAGCCCCGTTCCCGCCCCCGTCCCCATCCCCGTTCCCGTCCCCACCGAGCAGTTCCAGGTTCATGTCGCCGCCGTCCCGCTCCCTCCGCTCCCGTCGCCGAAGGACCCCTCTGGGGGCCTACCCCGCTCCGCGCCCCCCGCCTGACGAGGGCCCGGTGCCCTCCCCGGCCCCGCCGCGCTGCCGGTGCCGCTCGGCCCGGCTCCCCGCTCCCGGCCCGGCGGCCCCGCGCGCTCCCAGCCCGGCCCTGCTCGCTCCGGGCGCGGCGGCGGCGCCGGGAATGGCGCCGGGATCAGGCAGCGCCGCGGGCAGCCCGGGGCACCGCGAGGAGGGGCCGGGCGGGCGCCGCGGCCGCGCACGAAGGTTCCGGGGCGGGCGGGAGGAACCGCGGCAGCGCCGGAGCGCCTTTAACGGGGGACAAGGAATGTAAAATAAAAAACTGTAAAATGAAATATTATTAAAATATATAAAATAAAAATATATACACGAAAATAAATTAAAATAAAGATATATAAACTAAGCTAAGCTAAAATATGTAAAATAAAATAATATAAACTAAATTAAAATAAAATATGTAAACTAAACTAGAACAAAATCAAATAAAAAAATATAAACCAAACTAAACCAAAATAAACTAAAATAAAAATATAAAACAAAAATAAACTAAAATAAAAAATAAAACCAAAATAAACTAAAATAAAAATACATAAAACAAACTAAACCAAAATAAACTAAAATAAAAATATAAAACCAAAATAAAGTAAAATAAAAATATATAAAACAAACTAAAATAAAACAAAAATATAGTAAAATAAAAATGTAAAAAGTAAAATTTTAAAAATTAACTAAGATTAAATTTAAAATTAAAAAATATAATTCTTTTTTAAAAAAACAACAAAGTAAAAATGATAAAATTAAAAGTTAAAATAAACAATTAGAAAAGACTAAAAAAATAAAAATTTAAATAAAATAAAAAATAAAATAAGAAAAAAAAGTTTTTTAAGACCTGTGGGAGTTTGGAGCAGATAAATCATGGAATGCTGGAATGGTTTGGGTGGGAAGGGACCTCAAAGCCCATCCAGTCCCACCCCCTGCCATGGGCAGGGACACCTTCCACTAGCCAAGGGTGCTCCAAACTCTGTCCAACCTGGCCTTGGACACTTCCAGGGATGGGATGTACAGACAGGAAAAATAATAAATAAAATAAAGTAAATTAAATAAACCCCAGTTCTTTGTGTCACTCCTTTAAGGTAAAACATCCCACACCCCAAAACCCCCCAAAACCGGAAAAAAGAGATCAAGGAAGCTACAACCAACCACGAAAAGGCAGCAGGGAAGTGTCAGGAAAAGCTCTACGAGACATTTCTGGAATTGCAGATACAGAGGTTTCAGTTTTATTCATACTTTTATTATTTACACAAACGCCCCCCAGCCCTTGCAAGGGCTGAGCTCGACCCTCCCGGGTTCCAACCAGGTTGAAGAGCCCCAGGCCCAGGGTTAATACTGTTAGTGGGGGCCTGGGAGTGCCCTGGGAAACAGGGATTCTCCTCTGGAAAAGTAGTGTAGTGCTTGGCACTGCCCGCTGGAGCAGCTGGAGCTGCACAGAACCAGCCTGGAATTCCAGCACAGAGGATCCACACAAAACCACCCTGGAATTCCAGCACAGCCCATGGAGCTGGCACAGAACCATCCTGGAATTCCAGCACAGAGGATCCACACAAAACCAGCCTGGAATTCCAGCACAGCCCATGGAGCTGCAGAGAACCAGCCTGGAATTCCAGCACAGAGGTGGGATCCACACAAAACCACCCTGGAATTCCAGCACAGCCCATGGAGCTGCACAGAACCAGCCTGGAATTCCAGCACAGAGGTTGGATCCACACAAAACCACCCTGGAATTCCAACAGAGGCTGGATCTGCACAGAACCACCCTGGGAACACCAGCAGAGGTTGGATCCACACAAAACCACTCTGGGAATGGAGCACAGACCATGGATCTGGCACAGAACCATCCTGGAATTCCAGCACAGACCATGGATCTGGCACAGAACCACCTTGGGAATGCCAGCAGAGGCTGGATCCATACAAAACCACTCTGGGAATGGAGCACAGACCGTGGGTCTGGCACAGAACCTCCCTGGAATTCCAGCACCCAGCTTGTCTCCACACAAAACCAACCTGGGAATGCCAGCACAGCCCACAAAATGCCCACAAGGTGCAGATAAGTAAAAAAAAAGAAAAAAGAAAAAAAGGGGGAAAAAAAAGTCTTTTTTTCTCTATAAAAAGCAAATTAATCCATTTATTGCACAGAGAAAGGAAGGGTTGACCTAAAGCAGCGCTGCAGGCTCCGGATCCCTTCCCTTTTTCCAGGCTGTCCCACAGGCAGGGCAGAAGCTGGAATTTCGCTGTGTTTGAGCCAAGAAATTTCAGCAGCAAGGTGCAGCAGTTCCACAGTCCCAGGCTTTCCTGGGAAAGGGAGGCACTGCAGGACCAGCAGCCCCAGGGAGAAGTTGCCAACTCGCCGTTTGCTCCCGTAGTGACCGAGGTGCATCCTCTGCTCCAGCTCCCACTCTGCCCCAGAAACACCCAAGGAATGGGGGTTTTTTTTGGGAGCAGCCTCTTGGGAAAGGCACAGGGCCCCCCATCCCTCGGTTTTTTTAGTTTTCCCAGCCAAAGTGGAGCCCCAGAGGGAAAGCCCAGCTCCTGGAGAAGGAAGGACCTGTTTGGTTTTTGGTTTTATTTTTTTTGGCTCCAACCACACCCAGGGTTTAAAAAAAAAAAAAAAGCTGAGGAAACCTCAGTTTTTAAAAAGGTGCCTGGCAGAGTTGGCACAGTTTAAAACTGTCATTACTTTTACTGCTAATTGAACCCCCCCCCCCCCCCCCCCCAAGTTTTTAATTAAAATGACTTGGCACTTTCCCCACGGGCATGGAATGACTTTGGTGCAGCACTACCAGGGGGAACCTCTGAGCAGTCTCAACATTTTACCACAAGACTGGGAAGGAAAGGGCAGGTTCCTTCAGGCATTCAAAGAACTATTAGGAAGCAAAATAACCAGAAAAAAAAAAGAGCTTTTTGTTTGTTTGTTTGTTTTTTTGTCTTTTAACAGGAGTAAGAGGTGAAGGGCACATAAAGGATAAATAGCTTATAAGGTGTGGGGGGGGTTGCAAATCCCCCCCCAGTAAAACATGGAAGCTTTGCTCCTGTCAATGTAAACATCTCAAGTGTTGCAGAAACTCCTACAGATGCTTCTAAACACTTCTAGCCTAGAGTTTTTTGTTTTGTTTTTTTTTTTGCTTTCTCCTTCCTCTCCAACCGCTCTGGAATTAGTGCCATCGCTGAGAGACCGGGATGGATCCGTGTGGCCCCCGCAGTTCCTGGGAAGAGCTTTTCCTTCACGGAGTAAAGCCTGGCGTGGGCACACAGACAAACACACACACACACACACACAATGCTTTGCTTGGCTGGGTTGGTGGTGTGGGATTGGCAAAGAAAAAAAAAAAAAAAGGAAAAAAATAAATCCCTTTTAGTTCAAGGGCGTGGGATTCTTCTCTGCCTTGTTGCACAATTCCACGGGAGAAGCTGCAGTGGGATAACTGGCACCGCTGGGGTGGGCTGGGATTGCTCTGGCTGCTCCTCAGCGGGGAACAGCCCCGAGGTCTCACCTCTCTGAGCAATCTCCTGGCTGCTGGTCCCTGTCCCAGCCAGGCTGGGCACGGAGCTCCACCTGGAGAAGCCTCCTGCAGAGTTTGGGGAGGGGGGAAGAGAAATTCCCCCGCAATTCCAAAATCCTGCTGCGCCTCCTCCTCAAGTCGAGTCATCCAAGCCTTTATTTGGGTGCTCAGAGCTGGACTTGCAGAGCCTGTCCATGATCCCCTGCAGCATCGGCTGGACAATCCCCAGGAGAGGGCGCTGGGAGGAGTCCCCATCCCAGCAGGCTTCCATCAGCTGCCAGCATTCCTCATCGAACACCGGGAGACGCTCCGGGCGCACTCCTGGAAAACACGGAGCAGGAGGAAAAGGTCACACCGAGACAGCACTGAGGCTTCTCAGATGGTGGACACGTCCAGAGGATGGACAACACATGGAAGCATGGAATCACAGCCTGGTTGGGGTTGGAAGGGACCTTAAAGACCCTTCGGGATTTAATAACACACAACAGTTGAGTTTCCAAGGATGGAGATCACTGGGGAATCATGGAATCCCAGAATGGTTTGGCTGGGAAGGGACCTTAAAGTTCATCCCATTCCACCCCCTGCCATGGGCAGGGACACCTTCCACTAGCCCAGGTTGCTCCAAGCCCTGTCCAACCTGGCCTTGGACACTTCCAGGGATGGGGCAGCCACAGCTTCTCTGGGCAACCTGTGCCAGGGCCTCCCCACCCTCCCAGGGAGGAATTTCTCCCCAGTATCGCACCTAAACCTGCCCTCTGGCACTTTAAAACCATCACCCCTTGTCCTGTCACTCTCTGTCCACACAAAAAGTCCCTCTCCCTCCTTTTTTAAGCCCTTTTTAGGCTTTAAGGTCTCCCTGGAGCCTTCTCTTCTGCAGGCTGAGCCCCCCCAGCTCTCCCAGCCTGCACACATTTAGTTCCACTGGAGTCTCCTCTCTGCAACTATTTGGGAGCAAAATGAATTCTAAGGAAACAGGTCCCCCCCACCCACCTGCACATTCCAGTGCCTTTGGGAGCCAGCTCAACATGGGAATGAGCAGCAAGTGCAGCCTCCTGGCCAAGTGTGAGACTCACTCATCTGAGTTAATCTTTTTCACATGAGAAGGGGAGAATTTACATGGACAGGAACTAATGGACGAGGGATAAAACATCCTGATCCCAGGACACAGCACAAAGGATTGAGCTGTCAACAAAAGCCAGCACTCACTGGACCCACCCAGGCACAGGAGTGAGTTTCTATTTTGGGGAACACCTGTCCCAGTGGCTCTCTCCACACCCAGCAATGCTGCACATGGAGCATTTGGATGCACAGAAACCTCCAGGAACTGCATGGGATTAAACATTCCTCAGGGGATCAGGCCTGGCTGGCTCTGGGGGCTGGGTTACATCACAAGGCTTGTGCTGCTCTGTGGTTTCAGGGTGTGCAGGCACAGCTCCTGTGCTGCTGGAGAAGAGCTGCTCAGTCAGAAGTCCCTTTTTTATCCTGCTCATTTTAGTTCAACTTTCAGTAGAACTTGTCTAAGGTGAACTAGTAAATGTTACTCTTTAGAGTGTCCCAAAGCAATAGAAAAACATCCTGGCCTGGATCAGGAAGAGTGTCCAGCAGGAGCAGGGCAGGGATTGTCCCCCTGTGCTGGTGCTGCTGGAACCTCAAATCCTGTGTCCAGTTCTGGTCACTCAGTTCAGGAGGGACACTGAGGGGCTGGAGCGTGTCCAGGGAAGGGAACAGAGCTGGGAAGGGGCTGGAGCAGCAGGAGAACTGAGGGAGCTGGGGGGGCTCAGCCTGGAGAAAAGGAGGTCAGGGGGGACCTTCTGGCTCTGCAACCCCCTGACAGGAGGGGGGAGCCGGGGGGGGTCGGGCTCTGCTCCCAGGGAACAAGGGACAGGAGGAGAGGGAACAGCCTCAGGCTGTGCCAGGGGAGGGTCAGGTTGGACACCAGGAGGAATTTCTCCATGGAAAGGGTGGTCAGGCACTGGAAGGGGCTGCCCAGGGAGGTTTGGAGTCCCCACCCCTGGAGGTGTCCAAGGAAGGACTGGACGTGGCCCTCAGTGCTCTGGGCTGGGGGACAAGGTGGGGATGGGGCACAGGGTGGACTCAGTCCCGGAGGAATCTTTTCCAACCTCAGTGACCCTGTGAACTTGTACTTCTACCTTCGAGTTATGAGAAAATAAAAATGCCTTTCCTCATCCCCCCCCAAATTTATTCCAACAAAGCACCCGAGTCCAACCAAGCCTCTGTTACCTCTCCTAACGTTGTTCCACAGGTGATCTTTGCTTGCACATCTCTCAAAAGCCTCTGGTAACTTCACGTGGCCCGAGCAGATGTACCAGAAGAGAATTCCAAAGGCATAAACATCCACGGAGTTATCGTACTTCCCTGGGACAAAAGCACATCTGGTCAGCAGGACAAACGTCACCCTCACCCCTGGACACTGAGCAGGCTGAGAGCTCAGTTAGTGCTCAACTCCTTCAAATTCAAACCACAACTTCACGGCCAGAAGGCAAGACTTGTGTGAAGGAACACATGAGGTAAAGGATAAAAGTTAAGATTTTCCAGTTGTCAGGTTTTTACACTTAACTTGTACCTGCAGCTCCCAAACTCAGGGTCAGGGACCAGTGCAGGTGCTCAGATGGATTTCAGAGTTAAACACCAACATCAGACTCAGCTCTGCCTGGCCCAGGATGTCAGAGCCAAACATCAGCCTCTCAGCCTAGGAATTGGGCAATTAATCACTCACAGGAGGTTCACCCTCTAAATTGGCCAAGATTGAGCACCTCAGGTGCCCCAGGGCTAAGCCAGTGCTCACATCTAAGGTCAAGGTCCAGCCTGTGGCCAGGAGAATTCCACTGTTAATAAGAATAACATCCTCTAAATTAAACACAAAGAGGGTCGACTCAATTTGATTTCAATCTTATCCAAGCAGGGGCAGCTCTGACAGACCACAGGGATTCTGGTGAGTGAGATATGAACCTCTAAGTGCTACTGGAACACTCAGGAAAACCCTCAGAGTGAATTCAAACACTCCACAGGACAGAACAGCTTGGAAATTCCTTACAGGAGATCCTTCCTGAAGGATCTGCCTATGAAAGACAAGTACTTCCAGCTTCCTAATAACTAAGAATTTACCTTTCCAGCTGCAGAAGTATCAACCACTTCAGCAAAGCCTATCAATCCCCCAGTTCTCTTTCAAGACTGACACTTAAAAAATACACTGCAAGCAGGTCATCTGGGGTTTGTCTTTTTATTACTTTCCCCTCATCATGGCCTTCAAAATTGCAGGCAAGGGCAGGCCAGCAGCGGGCTCAGGGGAGGAACATACCTGTGAAGAGCTCAGGAGCCATGTGGATGGGTGTGCCCACAATGCTGCCAGACATCATGGCCTCTGGTTTGCAGAACCCCAGGTCAGTGATTTTGGCTCGATTCTTCTTGTCAAGCTGCAGAAGAATCCCCACAGAGGCAGCTGATAACCACCCTGCTCAGTCCCAGGGCTGCCTTTTAGTGCCAGGGCTCTGAACTGTTTACACTGGGAGGGTTGGGCACTTGTTCCTAACGAGCTGCCCTGATTACCTGGCTGCTCCTGGACACTCACCTTGCTGAGCTCAGTACCAGGACAAGCCTCCACCTGTCTCCTACACCAAGGGTGTGACTGGCATTTAAGAGGACCAGGAACTGGAAATCCCACTTGGAGCTCAAGCTGCCTACACTCCAGAGAAGCCATTCCACTGCTCCCTTTGCCCCAGGCCTCGGGCCAGAAGAGGAGGGAGGGAAACCTCCCCTGCCAGGCCAGCTGTGGCTGACACCACCCCAGCTTTGGGAGGATCCATTCCTTCACTTCAGCTTCTCCCTCCCACTACAAAGGTCTTGGGAGACTCCAGGATGTGCCAGATGTCAGAGTGCTCCTTACCAAGACATTTTTGAGTTTGATGTCCCTGTGCACCAGCCCCTGGCTGTGCAGGTACCGGATCCCTTCCACCACATCCAGGGCAATCTGCAGCCGTGTCTCCAACTCCAGCCCAGCCTGAGGAACAAACACACACACATTTCACTCCTGCTGCAAGTGCAAGTTACTTTTCCTTGCTCTTATTTATTACCAAAACTAAGCAATTCCAGCTTTGTCTTACAGATAGATATATATATATCTATATATATTTAGATGTGAATTTTTTTAAATTAGACAATCCCTGAATGGTTTGGGTGGAAAGGGAACTTAAAGCTCATCCAGTTCCACCCCCATGGGGCAGGGACACCTTCCACGAGCCCAGGTTGCTCCAAGCCCTGTCCAACCTGGCCTTGAACACTCCCAGGGATGGGGCATGGATGTATAAAATCTGTTTAACACACAGACACAGGTTGTTGGTACCTTTAGCCCCGTGTAGAGGTCCCTGTGCAGCCTCTCCATGATCAGCAGCACAGCAATGCTGGAGCCTCCTCCATAGCCATAATCTATCACAGATCCATGGAGGTGCACGAGCCTCTCATGTGTCTGCAGGGACCTGGAGAAGGTTCAGCACAGAAAACTGGTCATTTTTTATCCCCTCCAGCCCAGGCCAAGCCTCTCCTCCTAAAGGGAGCACGCACAGCAATGAGGTCCTTTGCAGGAAAAATTCACAGTTCAGAGCACCACAAGAATATCCAGCTGCCTGAGCCAATTAAACTCAAAAAAGCCCTATTAAAGGTTATAGTTCCAAACAAAATCCTGTCTTATTTCAGCTGTCTGTGCTGAAGCACCTGCCTGCAGCTGTTTACTGAAAACAAGCTGCTTTCTGCACTGCAGAGCCATCATTTCCCTTTGTGGATTCAGACAGGTTGGGAGAGGGGGGATGATTCAACACCAAAAAATCAGGGGAGAAGAACTGTTTGCTATAATAGCCTATTAATTCTAATTTACTCCTGCAAAACAGCAGGAATTTGAAGAGCACAGACACCAGGGAATCAGCTGGAGGCAGGGAGGAGGATGTTTGCCCACCGCTCTGTGCCCGTTCCACTTGGCAGTGACACTGGCAAGGTGCCCTGGCGAGGTCAGGAATGGCAGCTTGGCATTCCACGGGGTCAAATCACTGACTCCAGAACAAAACTAGAGGAAATCAGGCCCTGCCTATGCCATTCAAATGGACGTGGCACTCAGGGCTCAGGTCTGGGTGACACGGTGGGGATCGGGCACAGGCTGGGCTCGACCTCGGAGGCCTTTTCCAACCTAAACAACTGTGAAATTAAGGAGAAGGAGAAAAGCCCTCAGGATACACACCTCATATAGTGAAACTCGAGTGCAAGGTCATTCCAGTGCTTCTCATCTGGAGGAACAACGGATTTGAGGGCGCAGGGGAAGTGCCCCCCCCAGGTGTCACACAGGTACACGACTCCGTACTGCCCCCGGCCCAGCTCCCGGCCCAGCTTGGGTTTGCCTGCAAGGCACAACAGCCAGGCACACTCAGACACTACAACACACAGGGTCACACGTTAAAACACAGAACCCCTGCACTCAGCACTGGGGAGGCCACCCCTGGAGTGCTGGGTCCAGTTCTGGGCCCTCAGCTCAGGAAGGATTTGAGGTCCTGGAGCAGGTCCAGAGGAGAGCAACGAGGCTGGGGAAGGGACTGGAGCACAAGTGCTGTGAGGAGAGGCTGAGGGAGCTGGGGCTGTTCAGCCTGGAGAAGAGGAGGCTCAGGGGAGACCTCCTCACTCTCTGCAACTCCCTGCCAGGAGGGGGGAGCCAGGGGGGTTGGACTCTTTTCCCAGGCAACTCTCAGCAAGACAAGAGGGCTGGGTCTTCAGCTGTGCCAGGGGAGGTTTAGGTTGGATATTAGAAAGAATTTCTTTGCAGAGAGGGTGCTCAGCCATTGGAATGGGCTGCCCAGGGAAGTGGTGGATTCTCCATCCCTGGAGGTTTTTAAGCCCAGACTGGATGTGGCATCAGTGCCATGGGCTGGGAACCACAGCGGGGTTGGATCAAGGGTTGGACTTGATGATCTCAGAGGTCCCTTCCAGCCCAGTTGATTCTATGATTCTATAATTCTATGATTTCTCCTGCACATTCCCAGCCTGGCAGCCCAGAGCCTTTCCTGGGATGGCTGCAGCATCCAAGGCACTGGGGCTGTGTCAGCGGGAGGCTCACAGAGTGAAGAGCAAAACAGCCCTCCCACTCCTTCCCAGTGCCTCAGGGGGAAGGGGAGGGTGGGAACACAGGGAACAGCAGGCAGGGTGCTCACCGTGCAGCAGCACATCCTGCAGGGATCTGCTCTCCAGGGAGAGCCGGGCGAGCCGGGGAGCGTGATCCTTCCGCACCTTCAGCCACAGGTCCTCCGTCCTCTCCAGCCTGCCAGAGTGGCCATCCTCCAGCTGCAAGAGATACCACCCACACCCTGTCACCCTGCTGCTCTGGAGCCAGAGTGCAACAAGGTGGAGAGGCCCTGAATGTCTAGTTTAAAAATAAGACCTTGTGTCAGAGCCCTCCCCTCGGCTCTGCCACCTCTCCCCACGGAACGGCTGCATTAACTGCACCAGCTTCCTGCAATCCAAATTCCTTCCCCTCAATGGCACAGCCCCCAAACAAACCCTCCTGAGCAGCTGCCCACGCTCACCTGCCGCAGGGAAGCTGCAAAAGCCTCGTGGGAGCTGTTGAGCCTGGTCCTGAACTGGCTGCAGATGCTCTTGGCCAGCTTGGAAGCGCTGAGGCTCTCGATGGCATCCTGGGCCACCTTCCTCTTCCAGTCACTGGTGATGGCAGGGGGGCTGACCCATGTGATCCGCTGGATTATCTGGGAAAACGGGACACAACACTCAGGCACTGGCACAGAGGAAGTGCAGGGTCAGTGGATTTGCTCAGACACCTGGTAATGACGTGGTCACCTGCACACAGAGCTGGGCTAAACAATCACCTTGGAGTAACTGCTAATTATTGACTCAGAGGGTGGGCAGGCCCTGGCACAGGGTGCCCAGAGAAGCTGGGGCTGCCCCTGGATCCCTTCAAGTGTCCAAGGCCAAGGCTGGACAAACTTGGAGCAACCTGGGCTAGTGGAAGGTGTCCCTGCCCGTGGAAAGGGGTGGCACTGGGCGATCTTTAAGGTCCCTTCCAACCCAAACCATTCCAGGATCCCATGAGTCTAACCCAGAGGCATTGATCCCAATATTGTTGCATGTCACACTAAATAAAAGGTCTGATTTGCCTGAGCAGCTGCTCAGTTCATTCCTACAATCCAACCATCCCTTCCCATGTGACCAGGAACTGCTCCAACAGCCACCAGCTGGAAAACCACACGGCTCTGGTGCAGCTTCTGGGCTGAGGGAACTGGCAGCATAAGCAGGAGCCCAGAAAATCAGGGAGAGGCTCCCAAAGTGGCAAAATCTACAGTGAAGCTTCTTTTTGCCGGTCTGGAAATCCCAGGGGCTGGAATGCACCACTTCCCGTAATTCCTGGGTGATTCAGCTGCCCTGCCCCACCCTTTATTAGAGGCCACAGAAATCCAGGGGCTGCACAGCCAGGCTGGATCCCTCTGCCAGGCTGAAGGAGGGACTGAAGGTTTGTGACAGTCTGCACTGCACCTCTTTGGGGCAGAGTGGTGTTCCCCTCAGCCAGCCAAGGAATCTCGAGAGGGAGAAGGCAATAAAGGTCAGCAGCAGCTCAGAGCAGGGATTTCACCACCATCAATGGCTTAACAGACAGAAATTTAACATAAAAACCAGAGCAAATCTGGTCTGCTCTGGGGGGAGGAGAGTGAATTGACCTAAATCAAGATACACTGCAAAACAAGCAAACAAAAACCCGCAAGAAACCCACAAACCCAAATAAACAACATTACTCCAGTCATGAGTTTCAAAGGGCCCTTCATTCCTTTGCTCAAGAAAACACTCAGGAGGTCTTTGCTTGACATTAAATGTTAAAATCATGGAATCTCAGAATGGTTTGGGTCAGAAGGGACCTTCGAGCCCATCTTGTACCACCCCCAGGGACACCTTCCACTAGCCCAGGTTGCTCCAAGCCCTCTCCAACCTGGCCTTGGACACTTCCAGGGATGGAAAACCTCAGGAATAACTGCTCAAGGTGCCCATACCTGTTTGATCTGCTCCCACAGCATCCTGGTCACTGTTGAGCCAGAGTGAAAAGTGACTTCGACGTGATAAGCTGCATTTAGGATCTGGAAAGCAGGAAAAGATGTAAATCTGGGAAACTTTGCAAGCCATAAACTTTGCTGGACCCTCTGAAAACGAAAAAGAATGGTGCTCTGTGGTATAACCCACGAATCACTTGGTTAATTCATTTATTGCACTGAGCTCAGAGGTGTTTCTAGGCTGTAATCTTGTCATTATATACAGATTTAGGAAAATCAAGTGTTAGGCCCTCAAGTGACTGTTCCCAGTTTTAGCACCTCCCTTAATGACCCCAAACCCCACATATTCCAGAGCTCTGATTTCCCTGGGCATCTCCATCTGCCACCACCCTCCCTGAATCAGAAGAGAGCCAACAAGCCACTCCAAAGAGCCACTGCAGCCCCTTGTACCTGTTTGAGATAATTGCTCGTGATGTGCACAGAACCATCCTTGGGCTTCTCCAAGCTCCTTGCAGGATGTACTGACACCTCCCAGGACTCCTCCAGGCTCTTGAGGCACCTCTCCAGAGTCCCCACGAAGCTCTCCCTCAGATAGTCCACTGAGCTGATTAACTTGTTGGCAACTGCTTGGTTTAACCGAGAAATAATCAGTTCCTGGATCTGTTTAATGCAACACTTGATGTCCTTGGAGCTGACGGGCTCCCCGTTCTCAGGAATGATGATATCTGCACAAAGGAAGAGCAAGACACACCCTTGGGGTTCACCAGTGTGGTACCAACGACTCCTGAGAGCTGCTCTGAACACCCAGAGCAGAAGCTTCTGCTCCAAAAGCCATTTGGCCTTTTTTTTTTTTTCCTCCCCCTTCAGAGGTTCCTTCCTTTAGACCCAGATGTTACAAACTAAAGCCAACAGGAAAAACTTCATGAGCAACAGAATAACACGTGTCCTGACTCCTGCAAAGGGGAACATCTTTGCATGTGCAGGTTTACACAAAGTCCTAAACCCAGTCTGACAGTAATTTGGTATTTTGGGACAGAAAGTACTAAAGAATTAGAGCAGCTGGTTACTGCAGTTTCAGGGAAGCTAAAAATCAAATTTTCAAGGTGGAAAACATTATATTCTTTGCTTCCACTCACTGGAGTTGGAATTCCCAGGACACCTGATAGACTCTGCCCAAGAGCTACTACAGGTTTCCAGGGGTGCAGTGATGAGAAGTCACAACTATCACCCCCAAACTCAGAGAGCAGAAGCACAAAGCTGTGTTTCTGTCTAGTACAGACCAGGAAATTCTTCCAGGCACTGCTGGATGTTGAATCACATCCAGAGGGAAGTGATGGAACAGCCACACCAGGTCCCTGACATTTTTTTCCTGGTGCCTTGGAAAGGTCCATCACCACTTGGTATTTTCAAGCCAGCACTGAGCAATCCCTGCTCTGTAACCACTCCAAAACAATATGTGGCTCCCAGGAGCTGCAAACCTTGTCCCTGGATTTTGGCCAACACCAGCCCAGCTTATTTAAAACAAACCCAGGGCTCAGCAGATGGCATCAGCTCCTCAAAATAACACCCCCCTTCCTTCAGGAGAGCACTCCAAGTGCTGGGAGCCAGCAAGAGACTCCAAGTGATGTGTGTTGTGCAAATAAATGCACACAAGTATTTGCTGCAGGTGTTTTATCTCGTGCTGCCCCTGAGCACACTCCTGGCACAAGAATCCTGAGCTCGGGCACCACAGGGCTCCAAAGCTGGGAAGGGTGGGACACATGGAATACAGGAATTATGACCTGGCATTGTAATAATCCAGAATTTCTACCCCAAAAGCCCGTTTCTACCCCAAAAGCCCGTTTCTACCCCAAAAGCCCGTTTCTACCCCAAAAGCCCGTTTCTACCCCAAAAGCCCGTTTCTACCCCAAAAGCCCACTTCTACCCCAAAAGCCCACTTCTACCCCAAAAGCCCACTTCTACCCCAAAAGCCCACTTCTACCCCAAAAGCCCACTTCTACCCCAAAAGCCCACTTCTACCCCAAAAGCCCACTTCTACCCCAAAAGCCCTTTTCTGACCCAAAATCCCTGAGTTGTCTCTAATTTTACTTCAAGACAAATCTTTCCCCACCATCCCAGAGAACTGCATTTCCTTGGAACAGAAGGGATTGTTCCAGCAAACCTCTGGCAAGCAGAGAAAAGAGCTGTGGAGCACCAACCTACAAAGCTCCCCTGTGCTGTTCCTGACAGACCACACTCCCCCATTCCAAAATTTGGGGGGGCCTCTCACCCTTCACAGCTTCCAGCTTGGAGCTCCTGCAGTTCTGCTGGAAGAGGTGGTGAGAATTCTCACATTTCCCCTAAAACACACTCGATGCCAAGCCTTGGGAGCACAATATGGTGTGTTGATTTTCTTTTTTTTCCAAAGGAAAACTTTACCTACCCCAGCAGGATTTCATTTTGGAAGGTTCTAAACCCGAGTGTTCTTCTGCAAAACTCTCTCAAAGAAATGGAGCAGAAAGGACAAATTGAGCCTTCACTGAGGCAACATGGAGAGAGTTGTTTTGTTCTTCACAGAGCAGGGAATTAAAGGAGTAAAATATCTTAAACTCAGAACAGTGCAGGAAGGTCTGGGGGGGAAAGTCGGATTCAGAAGAAACTGGTTCAGGCCTCTCATTTAAGGGTGGTGCTTTTTGCCCAGGACATATGACAGAAAAATCAAATCTTTGTGCATTTGGGATATTCTGAACACCTGAACCTTGTGAATTTTGTGCATTTTGAATATTCTGAACACCTGAACCTTGTGAATTTTGTGCATTTTGAATATTCTGAACACCTGAACCTTGTGAATTTTGTGCATTTTGAATATTCTGAACACCTGAACCTTGTGAATTTTGTGCATTTTGAATATTCTGAACACCTGAACCTTGTTAATCTCTGTGCATTTTGAATATTCTGAACACCTGAACCTTGTGAATTTTGTGCATTTTGAATATTCTGAACACCTGAACCTTGTTAATCTCTGTGCATTTTGAATATTCTGAACACCTGAACCTTGTGAATCTTTGTACATTTCAAATATTCTGAACACCTGAACCTTGTGAATTTTGTGCATTTTGAATATTCTGAACACCTGAACATTGTTAATTTCTGTGCATTTTGAATATTCTGAACACCTGAACCTTGTGAATTTTGTGCATTTCGAATATTCTGAACACCTGAACATTGTTAATCTCTGTGCATTTCGAATATTCTGAACACCTGAACATTGTTAATCTCTGCATTTTGAATATTCTGAACACCTGAACATTGTTAATCTCTGCATTTTGAATATTCTGAACACCTGAACATTGTTAATCTCTGTGCATTTTGAATATTCTGAACACCTGAACATTGTTAATCTCTGTGCATTTTGAATATTCTGAACACCTGAACCTTGTGAATCTCTGTGCATTTTGAATATTCTGAACACCTGAACCTTGTGAATTTTGTGCATTTGGGATATTCTGAACACCTGAACTTTGTGAATTTTGTGCATTTTGAATATTCTGAACACCTGAACCTTGTGAATTTTGTACATTTCAAATATTCTGAACACCTGAACCTTGTGAATTTTGTGCATTTCAAATATTCTGAACACCTGAACCTTGTGAATTTTGTGCATTTGGTATATTCTGAACACCTGAACATTGTTAATCTCTGTGCATTTTGAATATTCTGAACACCTGAACCTTGTGAATTTTGTGCATTTGGAATATTCTGAACACCAGAACCTTGTGAATCTCTGTGCATTTTGAATATTCTGAACACCTGAACATTGTTAATCTCTGCATTTTGAATATTCTGAACACCTGAACCTTGTGAATTTTGTGCATTTGGGATATTCTGAACACCTGAACCTTGTGAATTTTGTGCATTTGGGATATTCTGAACACCTGAACCTTGTGAATTTTGTGCATTTGGTATATTCTGAACACCTGAACATTGTGAATTTTGTGCATTTTGAATATTCTGAACACCTGAACATTGTTAATCTCTGCATTTCGAATATTCTGAACATCTGAACCTTGTGAATTTTGTGCATTTGGTATATTCTGAACACCTGAACCTTGTGAATTTTGTGCATTTGGTATATTCTGAACACCTGAACCTTGTGAATTTTGTGCAATATTCTGAACACCTGAACCTTGTGAATTTTGTGCATTTGGATATTCTGAACACCTGAACCTTGTGAATTTTGTGAATTTTGTGCATTTTGAATATTCTGAACACCTGAACATTGTAATCTCTGCATTTTGAATATTCTGAACACCTGAACATTGTGAATCTTTGTGCATTTTGTATATTCTGAACACCTGAATTTGTGAATATTCTGAACACCTGTGCATTTTGAATATTCTGAACACCTGAACCTTGTGAATTTTGTGCATTTTGAATATTCTGAACACCTGAACCTTGTGAATTTTGTGCATTTGGGATATTCTGAACACCTGAACCTTGTGAATTTTGTGCATTTTGAATATTCTGAACACCTGAACATTGTTAATCTCTGTGCATTTTGAATATTCTGAACACCTGAACATTGTTAATCTCTGCATTTTGAATATTCTGAACACCTGAACATTGTTAATTTGTGCATTTTGAATATTCTGAACACCTGAACCTTGTGAATTTTGTGCATTTGTATATTCTGAACACCTGAACATTGTGAATTTTGTGCATTTTGAATATTCTGAACACCTGAACATTGTTAATCTTTGTGCATTTTGTATATTCTGAACACCTGAACCTTGTTAATCTCTGTGCATTTGGTATATTCTGAACACCTGAATCTTTGTGCATTTTGAATATTCTGAACACCTGAATCTTTGTGCATTTTGTACCTTCTGAACACCAAATCTTTGTGCATTTTGTACCTTCTGAACATTCCAAATCTTTGTGCATTTTGTACCTTCTGAATTTCTTGCCGAGTCTCTTGTCCAGACCACCATTCCCCCATCCCTCGCAGCAGGCAAACACCACTCGGCCCCCTGAGAGCCTCCACTCCACTTGCCCCTCCAGCCCCTCCCCTCCCCCCAGCCCCTCCACTCCCCCCAGCCCCTCCACTCCCCCCAGCCCAGCTACCTCTGAACTCCATGCTGGCCGCGTCCTCCAGCAGCTCCTCCTTCATGTTGCCCAGAGTCTCCACGATCATGTCCTTCATCTCCTCCTGCTTGCGGTTGGCGATGCCCATGAGGGACTCGTAGAGCTCGTTCTCCTTCCTGCGGGTGTACTCCAGCCTCTTGGGCGTGATCTGCAGGTCCCTCTGCATGTCGAAGGCCTGGTTGATGAAGATGTTGAGGCAGCGACAGTGCAGCTCGTTCAGGCTCGTGGCCGCCTCCACCAAGTGCTTCTGCAGCACCTGCCTGGAGAAGGTGCTCAGCAGCCTCAGCTTCTCCAGCTGCTCCACCAACATGCTCTGGGCCCCGCTGTCCCCGCAGCTGCAGTGGTTGGGGCTCAGGTACTGCAGGTCCAGCAGTTGGCAGTGCAGGGGGGACTTGTCGCTGTCTGGTTTTTTGGGGGAGATCAGCTCCCCGCCGGCCTCGGGCACGCGGAAGAAGAAAATGGGCAGGGAGAATTTCTCCTTGATGGTTCTCAGCTCGCTCTGGTCCGAGGGGGACAGCTGGGCCTCGCTGATGGCGAAGGTCACCACGGGCAGCACCTGGTTCACCAACTCGCCCAGGGTGTCCTCGGCCGGCTGGAAGCCCCGGCACGGAGCCACCACCACGTCCACCTCCTGAGGGCAAACACAGACACGGCTGGGCAGGTCCTTCTGCACCAAAATGCAGCAGAACTAAAAGCAGAACTAAAGCCAGAACCACTCAACCCCCTCGGAGAAGTTGTGGGGTCTCCCACACAGCATCACCTGCAAGGCTGATCCCACAGGGATGCACCCACACGGGGGTCTGTGTCCACTGACTCCAAATTCCTTATTCTGTGCCAAGAACCTTGGAGTTTTAGCCCAGTTTAGAAGAAAACTTCCAAAAAGCATCCCAGGTAAGTGCTGTCACAGAGCTGCACCCACACATGGAGCACTGACTCCAAATTTCTTATTCTGTACCAAGAACCTTTGAGTTTTAGCCTGGCTGAGAATAAAACTTCCAGCAAGTGTCCCAGTATCACAGAATAACTGGAATTCTTCAGCTTATACCTGTCCCATTTTGCATCAGCCTCTCCTGCTGATGTTCCCCAGACATCCATGCTGCCAGATTCCCAGGAGCAGGAAGCACTACACGAGCCACTACTGCCAAGAAAAAGGCAGCACAACAACCTGAGTTCCCAGCCAGGAGAACAGATGGCTGTGACAGGCTCGGCTGTGACTTTCTTTAAATCCAACCAAAAGCTAAAAGAAGGATTTTGTTTGGTTATTTTCTTATTGCACAGTTGCACTGCTGGGACAGCACTTCTTACCAACCCTGCTGCAAAGGGCCAGTTTGAAACCTCCTTCCTTCCCTTCCAAGGAAGATGAGAGTCCCCTTTGGATGTGCAGGATCAGTGTTAGAATTCCACACATCGCTGCTAAAATAAGGAAAGAAAGGCTTTGAACTGAAGAGACAATTTAAAGTACCATCTTTGGCTCATAACAGAGGGTGATAATTACCAACCCTTCAGTCATTTTTCTTGACCAGATCTCCTGACCACCCTCAGAGCTGTCAGGAAGCCACTCCTGCCCCCAAACCTGGCTGAGCAGAAGGGGATGTGCAGGGCTGCAACATCCCCCAGGAGCTGACTCACAGCAGCCACTGTAAACAAAGGAGGAAGCCAGAGCTGTCTCCAGGAGACGGGGAGAAAACCAACACCCCCCCAGCACCCCAGCAACTGGTCCTGCTGCTGCCACGGAACCTTTGCCAAAGAGGAAGCACTCCTTGCCCACCCTTTGCTTGGTTTCCCCTGCCCTCAGTGTCCTTGAGATGTTGAAGCACCATCTCTGCAGCTCCATCCTGCTGAGCATTAATGTGGGGAAAACCTCTGACTCAACGGGGGATTCCCAAAATTTTCCAGCTGGTTCTGCCCAGGTCAGGCTGCTGCAAACGCTCCTCACAGAGCTGGGAGCATCCAGCTGCTCTCAAGGAACTCCAGCCCTGCTTTCCTGCACTAAAAGGCCCTTTATTAAACACCAAAGCTTCCCACTTGGCCACCTGGACGTCAGAAAAGGCAAATATTGGAGTTAAAGCCCTGCCACTTCCGAGGGGCTGCAGACACCAACCCAGGGAATAAAAATGAAAGCCAAGGATCGAGGAGATCTTGACCTACAATGAGACAAGTGGAGTCCCTGCTGAATGTGCCACTTTACTAAACCAACAGATAATTCCTCATTTCCAAGGCACTCCAAGGCATTTCTTTGCTCCATCCCAAGAGGGCCTTGTCCTATTTTTCCCAGGCTCGGGGCAGTTTAATCACTGTTTGCCCAGTTAACTGAGGGGCTGAAAACCAACCCAATTTAGTCCCTTTTTTTACCCAAACTCCTCCTGTGACTGAAGGCCAGTCTTTTCCTGCACCAATTGGATACTCTGCCTTCCAAGAACAGCCTGTGACTCACTGAAGTCTGACAGTCACTGCATTTATTACACATGGGAGCTCATTTCATGCCTCCCTATTAATCTGAGGAACATTTATACCCCCAGATCTTACTTAGAATCTTTTTTCTTGTTTGTTTTACACACACTTCCCCACCCAATCCTTCTGAAATCTTGCCAGTTTATCCTGTTTCCATGGGGATCTGAGGCACCAGCAACAGAGAGAATCCCGTGGAAGAGAAGTGATCGACACCAAACTCTGCTGTCCTGGACACAACTTGGATTTTAACCCCAGTCTGGGGGGGAATTCCATTGTAATTTTGCTGGAAGGGCCCAAAAAAACCCTCTGAGGTGCCCAAAGCCACCAGCCTGAGGAGCAAGTCTCTTCCCTGACCATGAAAACCAGAAATCACTGAGCCAGCAAAACGAGAAACAGAGAACAGGTTTTACATGGCTGGAAGAATAATTTCACACTCCCAGTTATTCCAGTAAAAAGGGGGAGATGGAGACAACTTCAGGTGTTGGATGCTGGTTTGTGGCAGGACACCCTAAAGCACATCCCAAAATAACCTGGAATGAAGAACATCTCAGCCAACAGGATGCTTTTATGTATTTACACTACAGAACTGCATAAATTCCTTTAAAAATACTCCTTTATATTCCTATAAGCTTATAAAGATGTTTGGATATATAGATTAAAAACACTCTCAGGAAGGAGATCAGAGCACATTCCTCCAAGTTTTAAGCGGGATGGCCATAAATTATCCCCCAGCAGGTACTTAAGCACATCCTTTGCCACTAATTCCTGTGCCCTGACTCACTCCTGCAGCACCTGAGGCAACACAATAAACCCAAATTAACCCAATTCTTCTCCTCCATTCCTTTTCCAGCTCTGTCAGAGCAGATGAACAGTTTTCTTTCCCTACAAACCCTGCAGCCCGAGATTCCAAGTCCCACGAAACAAAGAGAACAGCAGGAAAAGGGAACTTTTAAGCCCATCCAGAGGAAAACCAACCCTTCAGGGGAGCCCATTTCAGCTCCCAGGCACGACTGATAAGATTTAGGGAAAGAGCCAACTGTTTGCTCCCACTGTAAATCTAATAATCTGTCTGGCTAAATGGATTATTCCCCATGACCCACATGAATTCCTGTGCACAGAGATCCCCAAGGAACAGAGCAGCTTCGCCAACCAAGGTTTTTTCCAGCCCTGATATCTGATGTTTAAAAATAACTTTTTAAGTTCACCTACCCAGGAGCACAAGGTTCTCACAGCAGCCATTCCATGTAAATGACATTTTTTGGCTCCTTCCTCACCCCTTCTTCTGTGAGACAGGTTTGGATTAAGGCACAGAAAATCAAGGATGGTGCCATCCTGGATATGAGGCTGTAGAAAAAAATCCCTCAGGGTGCTCCAGTGGCAGTTTGATATTAAAACCAGGAATATTCTACACTTCTATTTGATTTACCTCCAAATAAAAAAATAGTTTCATTTATTTGGATATTGCTAACTTCCAAATAATTTAGTCTTTCTTGACTGGTTAATGTTCAAATAATAACAAAGTGTTTAAATATGTAAAATTGGAGGTTATGAAATACAAAAAAACCAGATGAAAATACCGGGATTTCAGGGAACAAATGGGGTAAAATTCAGATTGATTTCCCTCTCCCTCTGTCCAAAAATGGGCTGAGCTCCTCCAAGTTATTGGGCAGACCTAAATCCTTAAGATCAGTACTGAATATCCTGTTAACATCCTGGATGTGACTGTAATTAGAGTCAGAGTTTTGTTCCACAAGTGAAGAAAAAGCAGAAGTTCCTTCAGAGCTGTTCTGCAGACACGAAATTTTGGAGAGTGTCCAGAAACCTCCCCCACTGTGGCTCTGGATACGAATTCCACTGGTCCCAGAAGCCCTGGCCACGACAGGCAGGTATTTACTCCAACTTCACTGCTTGGTCTGTGCTGAGCAGAGCTGGAGAACTCCCAGGAGTTAGAAAAGTGGGATAAACCAGGTCTCAGTAGGAGGCCAAACTCTGGGATTTACCAGGAATTCACCAGGAAGCTGTTCCCAGCCCATCACCTGGACAATTAATCAGGATCTCCTATCAAGCCTTTAAAAATTTGCTTGTCCTTGAATTGCCATCAGGAATCCTTTGAATCCATCTGAGGCTGATTCACCCTCCCTCATCCTTCCACTGGAAGAGCTTTTTTATTCCACCAACCCTTTTCAATTTAATCTGAGTCGCTGTTTTCATCTAAATGCCCTAAATATAACTGAGGGCAGACAGAGGGATCTTTGTCCCTGCCAGGAGGAGCTGAGGGAGGGCTGCACCCTGCAGAGCTGGCCCGTGCAAAAACCTAAGCAGGGCAAAGAAAGGGACAGCTGAGGAGCCTTTTCTGCCCAGCAAGGCAGGAGTTGGGAAGCAGAAGATCCAGAACAGGCATTTCTCCTTTGCAGCACCACTTTTCCAGTGCTCCAAGAGGCTCCAAGAGAGCTGGAGAGAGGGCAAGGGGGAGTGGCCTAAAGCTGAAGGAGGGAAGGGTTAGATGGGATATTGGGAAGGAATTGTTCCCTGGGAGGGTGGGGAGGCCCTGGCACAGGTTGCCCAGAGAAGCTGTGGCTGCCCCTGGATCCCTGGGAGTGTCCAAGGCCAGGCTGGCCAGGGCTTGGATCAACCTGGGCTACTGGAAGGCGTCCTTGCCCACGGCAGGGGGTGGGACTGGATGAGCTTTAAGATTCCTTCCAACCCAAACCACTCCATGATTTTAGGATTCTGCCAACCACAACGCTCCAGAATTATTTATACTGCAATAACAGAGGCTCAACACATCATATTAAATGCAATGAAGAGGTTGAGGAAGCTGTGAAACACAACCCTGACAGATATTTGTAAGCACCAAACCACAACACTCCAGAACAGGGACAGATTTTATGGACCAGCAAAAGCAAAGTCACAAAGCAAGAGACGACCAGTGTTAGAACCAGCACTGGGATCAACTCCCACCTTCCTGCTCTTAACACCTGCAGCTTCCAGGGGCAGCACAGAGATGCAAAAAGCCTCTCCTGTCCCAAAGGGAGCCAGGGTGGAATGAAGAAGCTTTGTGCTGACAGTGAGCTCTTCAGGACAGAGAAAAAGTTCATATCCTTGTAGGACAGCTGCTGGCTGCCAGGAGACAGCAAAGCCAACTCTGAATAACCCTGGAACTCCAAGACACTTGGGATATTGGGAAGAAATTGTTCCCTGAGAGTGGGGAGGCCCTGGCACAGGTTGCCCAGAGAAGCTGCGGCTGCCCCATCCCTGGAAGTGTCCAAGGCCAGGTTGGACAGGGCTTGGAGCAACCTTGGATCTACCAAGACACTTGAAGTTCCAAGCTTGGCTCCTGAGAGGGATGGAAGCACGACAGAGGAGCGACAATGCCAAGAGTCAAAGGCTGGACTCGATCTCAGAGGTCTTTTCCAACCTAATCAATTCTGTGACTCAACACTGAAACAAAAGCACATCAGCACAGACAGTGATGTCCAGTTAAAGCCCTAACACCAGATTCCAGCTTCTCTTTAATTAAGGGAACCCCTCTGCCTGAGAGGTGGCACCATTTCATAGAATCACAGAATCAGCTGGGTTGGAAGGGAGCTCTGAGATCATCAAGTCCAACCCTTGATCCAACCCCGCCGTGGTTCCCAGCCCATGGCACTGATGCCACATCCAGTCTCAGCTTAAAAACCTCCAGGGATGGAGAATCCACCCCTTCCCTGGGCAGCCCATTCCAATGGCTGAGCACCCTCGCTGCAAAGAAATTCTTCCTAATCTCCAACCTAAACCTCCCCTGGTACAGCTTAAGACCCAGCCCTCTTGTCTTGCTGAGAGTTGCCTGGGAAAAGAGACCAACCCCCCCCTGGCTCCCCCCTCCTGTCAGGCAGTTGCAGAGAGTGAGGAGGTCTCCCCTGAGCCTCCTCTTCTCCAGGCTGAGCCCCCCCAGCTCCCTCAGCCTCTCCTCACAGCACTTGTGCTCCAGTCCCTTCCCCAGCCTCGTTGCTCTCCTCTGGCCCTGCTCCAGCCCCTCCATGTCCTTCCTGAGCTGAGGGCCCAGAGCTGGACACAGCACTCCAGGGGTGGCCTCACCAGTGCTGAGTCCAGAGCAAGAATCACTTCCCTGGCCCTGTTGGCCACCCTGTTCCTGAGCCAGGCCAGGATCCATTGGCCTTCTTGGCCACCTGGGCACACTCTGGCTCCTGTTCAGCTTCTTGTCAATCCAAACTCCCAGGTCCCTTCCTGCCTGGCTGTTTGCTTCAGCAGGGACTGTAAATGCCCCGGGGATGGGGCAGGGACACCAAGGGACACCAAGGGACACCCCTACCTTGAGCAGCGAGTAGGGCAGCATGACCTCCAGCTCGGCAATGCGGTGGGCAGGGTCCTCGGGGTCCCCCTGGATCTCCAGGTCCTCCTCAGGGATGGTGTCCCAGTGCCCCCTGTGTGCTGCCAGCACGTGCACCAGCTCGTACTGCTGGGGCAGGGCCAGGCTCACCCGGGTCTGGCTGCCGTGCGTGAAGCGGATCCGCCGCCTCTTGCAGTTCTCCTCGTTGCTGATCTTGGTGGTGGGCAGCAGCTTCTCCCCCAGCAGGATGTTGAGCAGCTGGCACTTGGCACTGCAGTTCTGGCCCAGGATGAGCAGGCAGGGGTGCCAGCTCACGGAGCGCTGGAGATGCTCCTCCTCGTGCCGGGGGAAGGAGATGAAGTTCTGCCCTGGAATCGAGGACAGGCTGAGTTAGAGAGGTGAGGCTTGTCCCTCCAACCCCCTTCTGAGCCAGCTGAAGGCAAAAGCTCAGGCACTGCTGCCCCACAGAGCACCAGGAATCCGCCTCTGCGCCCTGGAATCCGTGGCAGTGACTCAGCATTCCTGCTGCACCGCCAGCAGGTTCATTCCCACAAAGCCACCGGAGCAGTTTGTCACTGTTCTCCCCAGCACGTGGCACAGGGTGGGATTTTGGGGTGTCCTGGATGATCCTTGTGGGTCCCTTCCAGCTCAGGATATTCCATGATTCTATTCCACTGGAAAGAGCCCACACAAAGCTCTTCAGCAGGTTAGTGGGAGACTCGTGGAAGGCCCAAAAAGTCAAGATAAAACAGTTGTCAAGGTCAAAACAAAGGTTTAATCCTGTCTGGGGCTGGAACAGTGTTTCCCCTTGATCAGGAGCTCCAAGAGACCCAGTGGGTCACTAAGGCCAACTCTTCCCATATTTTTATGGCTTGGCTCTACAGAACATTCCTGTCCCATATCAGAAATAAATTCAGTCAGCTCTGAATCAGTGACAGTTCCACCCACACTTCAGAACATCAGATCCTTCACATCTACCAAATCCCAAGAGTGCCACTGCACAAGCCTGTTGGCCAAATCTAGGAATATTGATGTGAAAGCAGCAAACCCTCTGTCCTGGCCTCGGGGAAAGGCATTCCTGCAAAATTGCCTCTGTACATCAAGCAGACAAGACCAAGGTTGCTGAGGCACAGCAGGAGAAGGAACAGCCTCCGCCAGCAATTCCCTACAACAAACAGTCACAGCACCTCCAGGAAGTGCCTCACTCCCAGCAGCCTGGGCAGGGAAGACCCTCTGCCAAGAGCCAGAAGGTTCTGGAGCAGCTCAAAACACAACAACAGCTTCACTGCCTGGAGGTACCAAGAGCAAACACCTTCCCTGACCTGTCCAGCTGAACCACACAGGCCCAGTTGGACAGATTGTCATTTTAAGAGCAGCACTTGAGCTGCAAAAGGAAGTTACTCAACATCTGTATCTCCTCCAGAGCAGGACTCCCTGTAATCACCCTCCTTACTCATCTGCCAGCACCAACTGCAGCATCATGGACTAAGAATTCCAAGCTCAGAGGGATGGAACAACTCCCTGCCCTAATTCAGGCTCAGGACCGGGTTTAGCTTCTCTGTTCTTTTACAAGTCCTAATCAGAGCTTTGCCCACACTCAGTCTGAGCAGCTCTGTGTTCCCTGATGTACAGCTCTGGGAGAACAAAAAACAGGGATACAAACAATCCCTCATGTGCTGCACTTCAGGAACACAAAACAGCTGGTGCTGCACCACAGCCAGGGTTGGGTCACGGTCCAGACCTGGAGGCACCAAGAATGAAATGGCAAAGGGAGGCACCAGGCCCCAAAACCTGCCAGATTTTCAATTTGACACCAATTCCAAACCACCACGACTGCCCTGATAGGGGGCAAACTGGCAAGAGCAGCAGCTTAAAGGGAGAATTAACTACAACACAGCAATTGGGGTTTGACAGGGAAGGTCCTGTTTCACCAGGGCTATTAAAATTCTTCTAATGAGTCATGTTCTGGCAGCCAAAATCGTTTCAGCATCTCCAAGCCCCAGGAAAACAAGATACTCCCATGTACCAAGATACTCCTCAACACTGCAAATTAAAGAGAGCACACAGCACATTCTGCTCCTCACTGACACCACTCCATCCCTCTGGTTTAATTAAAATCAGGCCAGTTTGGAGCAGCACCACATGTAGTTCTTTGTGTCTTAGACCAGTTTAAGGCTTCTTTAACATCCTGCCTAAAATTGACTTTTCCTTCAAACCTTCCATCTGAAAATAGACTGTTGGAGAGGTTTTTCCCACCCCAACACTAAGATGGCTCAGCAAACCCCTCTCCTGCAGTTCTGCCCTGCAAAACCCTGATTGCTGACCCCCAAAAGCCAAGTTTGGGAAAGGCTAAGAGAGAAATCACTCCCTGAAGTGGGACTGGCTCTTCTAACTGTTCCTTAAACAAGCCTTTCAAGATCCACAGCCTGACAGAGCAGCCACATCAAGTGACCAAAGGGCCAAAGCTGGCCAGGAGCTCACACAAGATAAGGATCTGCAAAACCCCACAAATAGCACATTTCAGCCTTCATCTACAAGATAAAGAATTTCTTTGATCTGGGAACATTTCTTGAACCTTCTGCTGCCATCCAGACTCGCCCTTCAGCTACCAAGCATGAAAAAAAGGCAATTCAGGGAGGGTTGCACAGGCACAGTCTCCTCTGCAGAGGCTTTTGAAGAGCAGAGAGGAGGCAGAGCTGCCTCTCCCCACCCCAGGCAGGCTCTGCCTTTGTGGGCACTTAATGAGAGAAAATGATTGAAATACAGCAGCTTAACTGAAATTATTGAGGCCCAGCACGGATATATAAATAGAATTGCAGACTGGTTTGGCTGGGAAGGGATCCTAAAGATTATATTCCACCCCCTGCCATGGGCAGGGACACCTTCCACTAGCCCAGGTTGCTCCAAGCCCTGTCCAACCTGGCCTTGGACACTTCCAGGGATGGGGCAGCCACAGCTTCTCTGGGTACCCTGTGCCAGGGCCTCCCCACCCTCCTAGGGAAGAATTTCTTCCCAATATCCCATCTACACCTTCCCTCCTTCAGCTTTAGGCCATTCCCCCTTGCCCTGTCTCTCCTTGCCCTTGTGAAAAGTCCCTCTCCAGCTCCCTTGGAGCCTCTTGGAGCACTGGAAAACTGCTGTAAGGTCTCCCTGGAGCCTCCTCTTCCTTTTTCACACCCCCAGCCTGTGATCAGCATTTATTCAACAAGTTCCTCCCAGGAGCAGCACCAGAAACAAAGCCTCAAATTTACCATTATGTCACCCTGAGATATCCCAAGCACGTGAAGCACAGACCTGGCACCAAACCCTTAATTTGGTTGTGTCCCAGCTCACCCAGAGCACCATCAGGGCACTCAGGTCATGGCAGTGGCTTTAACCCTGTGTTTGTCCATCACTGGGCATTTTACAGCCACCTCAGGGTCCCAAACCTGAAGCAAATTGCACAGTGACAGGACTGGTTGGGGTTGGAGATCACCCAGTCCAACCCCCTGGCCAGGCAGGTGACACAGGAACTCATCCAGGGGGGTTTGGAATGTCAGAGAGAGAGAGAGGGAGACTCCACACCCTCCCTGGGCAGCTGTTCCAGGGCTCTGCCACCTCCAGGCAAAGAAGTTCTGCCTCATGTTGAGCTGGAACTTGTCGTGTTTTAAGTTTATGGCTGTTGCTCCTCACGCTGCCACTGGGCCCCACTGAACAGACCTGGCACCATCCTGACACCCCTTGGAGGCATTGGTGTGTCAGAGAGGACACACTCTGCACTGCAGAGAGGATTACTGCCTAAATTCCTGAAGACACAGGGTACAAAGACTCCTGAAGAACTCAACAGCTGGTGCCACAAATCCCAACACGAACTCAGGTTGTGTTTTCCCCCCACAAAGGAGGTTCAGAACCTGCTGCCTGGAGAGCTGCAGTGACATTCCTGCACGTCCACGAGCAGCTCCTCTTCGTGACAGGGCTCTTGCCAAGGACTGGAGCTGGTGGTACATCCTGGATCCGTCGACTGTACTCACTGGGAGACATGTGATGAACACTTCAAACCCAGGGCTCGGGGGAGTCCTGGCGCGCGTGGACCCCGTGAGCCGCGCCATGAAAGGAGGCCTGTCCAAGAACAAGGACGTCTCTCACCAAGGCTCGGCTCAAAACTCAGCCAAACACTTGGCAGGAGAGGCTGAGCTTGGATTTATGGAATCTATAGAAGCCCCAAGCATTGACTCATCCCTTTTCCAGGGATCCTCTGCCAGCATCACTTGTCTTTTCAGTTCCAGTGCTACGTGAGGACAACCTAAACACGGCCAGAGCCTCTTACTGCAAATGCTGAGGGTTTGCAGAGGAATCCTCCCATTGCTCTGCTGCTGCTCACGACCTGCAGGAGGTTTTGGCCACCACAAGACTTATGATAGCCCAGTTCTACCAACTGAGGTGTCCAAGGCCAGGTTGGACAGGGCTTGGAGCAATCTGGACTAGTGGAAGGTGTCCCTGCCCGTGGCAGGAGGTGGAATGGGATGAGCTTTAGGGTCCCTTCCAACCCAAACCATTTGGGGATTCCACGTGATCTCATCCCTCTAAAACCCCCTTATTTATGGAGGCAGCAGAGCCCAGGGCTCTCCCCCAGCACACACCACTGGTGCAACACTCCAGCTGCTGCCCAAACCTCTGGGGATGCTCTAGATTTGGGGTTAGCTCAGCTTGCAGAAATTCCTAAAATAAAAGAAATAACCCCTCAGGTTCCTACATCAAAGAGCTCCAATTACTGCAAGCACAGAACAAAGAAAACAACCCCAATTAGCAGAAAGCAGGGCTGAGGGACTTTTTCCTTGGTATCTTTACATATTTTAGTAAAACCTGCTGCCGAGTCCCTAAATCAGGGTTTGTGTTTCCAGCAAACACGCCAGTTATCAGCACCAAGAACCAAAAGCTGCCAGACCTGAAGCTGCAGGATTGTCCCAGCACTTGAACAAATCACTCTGAGATGCCAATTCATGCCAAGGCAGCCCCAGAGAACAGACAGGATTTTGTTGACTCCCTCAGAAAGGCAGACAGAGCAAACCGGACTCGCCTTTCCCTCATAAACAGTAGCTGGGAGGCAAATTATTCTTTCCCTTGGATTGAGTTCACTTCTCTCACTATGAGGTGTAAGTCCTGCTGCTGCCACCACAGTCTAGTCAGTGGTGGGTTTATTGATGGGTTTTGCTGTCACCCTCCTGAGCAGAGGGGAGGGATGGAAGAGGATTTCTTTCTCCCAGAAGTGCCAGCCCAGGCTGACCCAGCTCACCCCGGGGGCCACTGCTCAGCAGATACTCAGCCCTGGCTGTGGGCAGAGTAACCCAGGCTGGGCTTCAGCTCTTGATCCAGAGGCCACTTCCCTTTCCAGGCTGTTCCACGAGTTTTTCAGGTGCCTCAAAAGCAAACCCTTCACTTTGTTTTGTTTCCAGGACATCTGCATTTACTTTTCACAGTTTGTTTTCCACTCCAGCCCTGGGCAGTGTGTCCTGTCCACTCCACTCCATCCCCAGGTCCTTTGTGTTTCACAAAAAGTCTGCAGAACAATTTGGTCAGAATTCCTCTCACTTTGATACCACCTGAAGGGCAAAAAGGGGTTCTGAATTCAGTGAGAACTGGGCTCTTTAAACCCTCTGACACTCAAAAAACTCTCCATGTTACACAGGGGAAAAAACTTTCATTACCAACCACTACAATTCAGAGAACACCAGAAATGTCCAACACCATTAAACTGTACAGAAACAAGGAGCTCTCGTTATAATAAAGAAAATTAATACTATTATTAATATAATAAAGATTCTCCAACCACCACCTTGGGTTATTCAGGCAGGAAGTTAATAAGCAGTGCCAAAGCTCTGGGTTTTGGGCAAAGGCTTGTGACTTCCCAGAGCTTAAAAAAAAATAATAATCATTAATTCACAGTTATTTTGCAGCTGTGTCCATTATTTTACCAGGTCCTGCTCCTCATCCTCTTCCCACCACAACCTCCCACCCTCTAACCCAGAGCAGGTTTATTCACTTGATCCTTGTCCCACGTCACCAGTTGGAAAATAAAACTTAAATCCATAGTTTGCAGAGCAGTAAGAGCCAGACAATCCTCTGCAGCCTGAAATCCTGAGCCAGGAGCCCGAAATCCTGAGCCAGGAGCCCGAAATCCTGAGCCAGGAGCCCGAAATCCTGAGCCAGGAGCCCGAAATCCTGAGCCAGGAGCCCGAAATCCTGAGCCAGGAGCCCGAAATCCTGAGCCAGGAGCCCGAAATCCTGAGCCAGGAGCCCGAAATCCTGAGCCAGGAGCCCGAAAACAGGAGCCCGGCAACCCTGAGCCAGGAGCCCGAAACCCTGAGCCAGGAGCCCGAAACCCTGAGCCAGGAGCCCAAAACCCTGAGCCAGGAGCCCAAAACCCTGAGCCAGGAGCCCAAAACCCTGAGCCAGGAGCCCACACTGTCAGCACTGTCAGCACAACCAAGCTCTGAACAGCCAGACCTCCCCTGAAGCCCTGAACCCAATCAAACTGGGTCAAAGTAGGGATTTGAATAAAAAAAAAAGAAGGTTATAAGTGCTCTGGGTTAGAGACAACAGGCAGGAAATCTGTTGGGATCTGTACCTATGTCAGGAATATTGGATTCATGATGCCCCCACGTCTAAAAGATGCACTTGCTGTAGAACCAGCAATGTTTTCCAAGGAATAACCAAACACAAGAGCAGCTGCAGTGAGTGGGACCATTCCAACAGCTCTGAGACCATGGCAAATCCTAGAATCATGGAATGCTTTGGGTGGGAAGGGACCTTAAACATCATCTTATTCTAACCCCTGCCACAGGCAGGGACACCTTCCACTAGCCCAGGTTGCTCCAACCTGGCCTTGGACGCTCCCAGGGATGGGGCAGCCACAGCTTCTCTGGGCACCCTGTGCCAGGGCCTCCCCACCCTCCCAGGGAAGAATTCCTTCCCAATATCCCATCTAACCCTGCCCTCTGGCAGTTTGAAGCTGTTCCCCCTCATCCTGTCACTCCAGACCCCTTTAAATAGTCTCTCTCCATCCTCCTTGTCGACTCCCTGGAGGCACTGGAAGGCTGCAATTAGGTCACCCCGAATCCTTCTCTTCTCCAGGCTGAACAATCCCAAACTCACCCATCACACAGTCCCTTTGGCTCACCTGTCCTGGCTGTGCCCCTTCCCAAAAATCTGGCTCCCTCCCAGCCTGGTGTGAGGGGGGAGCGTGGAGAAGCTACTCAGCACTTCCCAAAACCCTGCTGTGTTCCCAACACCTTCCCAGCTCCAAATCCACGGCACCACAGATGGGGAAAATTAACTCCCAGCCAGCCAGACCCAACCCAGGGTTTTCAACACTGATTTTTTTTTTTTTTTTAAATACACAGACAGACAGGAGATCCCAACACTTCCATCTTCAAACCACAACTGTGAGGGTGAGACAAGAAAGGACAAGTCTCCTGGACAAGTAGCCAACAGAGATGACTCATGAGCCGCTTGGAAATGAATGAAGAAGATCTTTATGAAGGTTCCATGTCACGCCAAAGTCTCCTCTCACAAGACAGTCTTATGGAAAGATGAAGTTCTGCACGTGGCAGGAGAGCTCCCACCCGCAGCTCTGTTTGTCAACAGCAGCAGAAATGCCCAGGGAGCTGCTGAAGAAAGCCACTGTTCCCACAGAACCCCTGGGAAAAACACAGCCCAGGGAACAGCAACCCCTCATCCCACCCACTCCCAGGTGCTGCCTCTTCCTGACACGCGGGCAAGGGGGAGCTGAAAAACTGGGAGAGGGAAGGATGGAATATCCCGAGCTGGAAGGAACCCACAGGGATCATCCAGTCCAACCCCTAGCCCTGCATAGACACCCTAAAATCCGACCCTGTTCTTGAGAGCGTTGTCCAAACCCTCCTGGAGCTCTGGCAGCCTTGGGGCCGTGCCCACTGCCCTGGGGAGCCTGGGCAGTGCCCGACCACCCTCTGGGGGAAGAACCTTTTCGTAATATCCACTGAAACCCTCCTAAATACCCCTTCAGCCCCGCTCCCTTCACCCCACCAACCTCCTCACAGCCCCAAGCTCTCCGCAGGCACCCCCAGCCCACTAAATCCCATAAATTGAGCAACCCCATAAGAGAGCCCCCCATGAGAGCCCTTCACTCTCCATCGCCTTCCACCTGCCCCCCAACCCTCGCAAGCCCCCCCCATTGACCCCTCACCCCAGGAACCCTCCATTCACCCCCAGAACGGCCCCCCTTCCCTCCCCAGTCCCCAGCCCTTCCCGGCCCCTCTCTCACCGCCGGGCGCGGGGCCGTCCCCGGGCTCCTCATCCCCGTCCCCTCCGTGGGGAGCGTCTCCGGCGGCCTCCGGGGCGAAGGGGTGTCCCTGGGAGAACTTGACGTCGCGGAAGAACCTCCTGGTCTCGCGCAGGTTGTGCTGCAGCCGCGCCAGGTGCCGGTTGTAGTGTCCGAAGGAGCGGCAGAGCTCCCGCACGGCCCCGGCCCGGCCCGGGCCCCCCTCGCCCTCCATGTCCTCCGGGTCCGCCCCGATATCCCCTCCCCGCCGCGCCGCGCGCTCGGCCCCGGCCAGGGCTGCCGCCCCTTTTTTTTTCCCAGGGAGGAACCTCCCCGGGAGGTTCTCCCGACCCGCCCCCCCCCCTCCCGCCCGCCCCTCCCGCCTCCCCGACCCCCGCCTCCTCCTTCTCCTCCTCGTGCCGAGGGGCAGCACCTCCGCCAACCGCGCTGCGTGTGCGCGGAACCTTTATCGGCGCGCCGCGGGGCAAAGGGGGAGGAGACCGGCAGAGGACGCCGCGCGCGGGGCACGCCGGGAGATGTAGTTCACGCTGCATCTACGTGCAGTTCATGGTGCTGTGCGCGCAGGGCATGCCGGGAGTTGTAGTCCGCCGCGCCGCGAAGCCCCGTGGGGACTGTAGTCTCGCGAAGAGGCGCCGCCGACCCATCTCCGCGGCCTCCGCCCACCCCCGCGGGGGGGAGGAAGAGAAAAAACAACCAGAAAAAAAATCCCAGAACGACCATAAAACAGTGTGTTTATAAAGGAGAAAGAAAAGGGGAAGGAAAAGGGAAAGGAAAAGGAGAAGGGAAGGGAAAAGTGGTGCTGTCGCTCCCGGTTGCGGAGCGCTGCGCGGCACCGGCGCGGCAGGAGGCGGGACACGCCCCGCGGCAGCTCTCGCCAATCACCGCCGGCCGCCCCGCCCTCTGCGCGCTTCCATTGGATAACCTTGCCGTCACTCAGCGGGAGGCTCGCCCTCTAGCCCCGCCCCCTGCACCGCCTCCGCCAATCTCCGCAATCCTCTCCGCCCCCCGCGCGCCGCCATTGGCCCGCGGCGCTGTCAGTCAGCGGCGGCGGCGATGCCGGTGCCGGCGGCGGGCGCGGAGCCGCCGGGGCGCGGAGCCGCCGCCCGGCCCGGGCTCGGGCTCGGCGGGGCGGGCGGGCCGGGGCCGCACCGCCCGCGGGCCCCGCACCGGGCCCCCGGCCGCCGCCCGGAGCCGCCGCCGCCCCCCGCGCCCCCCGCGCCCCGCGCCCCGCTATGAAGCGGTGCCGCTCGGACGAGCTGCAGCAGCCCGAGGACGATCCCGCGGCGGAGCCGCCGCCCGGGCACGGCGGCATGGAGGGCAAGGCCGGGGAGGCGGCGGCGGCCAGCCCCGAGGCGGGCGCTGTCCCGCCGCAGCGCTCCAAGCCCCCCGACCTGAAGGTGAGCGGCGGGGACGTCCCGCTGGGACACGGGCTGGGGGGGAGGATCCCGATGGAGCATCCTATGGGATGCTGAGCGCCCCGCGGGGTCACCCCTGCGATGGAGCTCGGGGGGTGCCGCCGTCCCCACCCCACGGTGCCGACCCTGCCACAGGTGTGACCTTGGAGGGTACGGGATGGCTCCGGGACGGGGGCGATCCCGGGAGGAGAGTGCTTCAGGGATGGGGACGGTGCTGGGGTGGGGAGGATCCTGGGAATAGGGTGCTCCGGGGGTGGGGAGGGTCCTGGATGAGGATGATTCTGGGATGGGGATGCTCCTTTTATGGGGATGCTTCTGGATGGGGATGCTCCAGGGATGGGGACGGTCCTGGAATGGGGAGGCTCCTGGAATGGGGATGGTCCAGGATGAGGATGCCCCTGGGATGGAGATGGTCGCAGGATTGGGATGCTCCTGGGATGAGGATACTCCTGGGATGAGGATGCTCCTAAATGAGGATGCTCCAGGGATGCAGATGGACCAAGGATGGGGATGGTCCTGCGATGAGGATGCTCCTGGGATGAGGAGCTGGCGGGATGAGGGTGGTCCCAGGCAGGGGTGACAGGGCTGTGCCCCCGCAGAGAGCCCGGTACATCCCTGCCCGGTGCGGGGGGGACGCTCCGGGAGGATCCGGGGCTGCGGCACCGGGAAGTGACGGTGTAGAAATGGCCCCGAGGCTGCTCCTCCCGGGCCTTCGGGCTGGGTCCGGTCAGGGAGGAAAACAAGTTCCGCGGCACCGCAGCGCTTGCGGGAGGGAAGGAGGCGATCCCGAGGGAGGAAAGGAGGAGGATGGGGCGGTCCCGTGGGAAATCGGGCGGAAAATTCCCGCGGGTTTGGAAGCAGGAGCAGCTCCAACCCCCCGGCTGTTCAACAGGGTCCCGCCAGCGAGGGCACGGTGGGGTTTCATCCTGCAGGGATGAATTCCCTGCAAGAAAACCTCTGGAACTGGGGGTTTTCAGGCGCTGCAGCGGCCGCCGGTTCGCTGTGGTGACACCGTGGTGGTCACACAGTGGTGGTCCAGAGGTGCTGCTTCCATTCCCCGGTTTCGAAAAGGCCTGGAAAAAATGGGAGATGTCCCTTGGCACCCCTGGGCAGCCTGGGATGCAGGGTGGAGTCCCCTATTGTGGACACCCCACCCGGCTGCTCGGCCTAGAAGGTCTCCCCAGTGTGGTCAAGGTCATGTGGAAGCCAAAAAGCAGGTCCAGGGCTGCCAGTGCCTACAGGCATCCCTTCCAGACAGGCACCAGGGATTGAAACCCCCGTTCCTACAGGAGAAAACTCGGCTGCTTTAAGCACAAGAAGGCCAGTGGCTGCAGGATGTGACACACGAGGCCTTTCCCTCCATGTCCGAGCAGCAGCTCCTGCTCCCGAGGCTGTTTGGGCTCTGCTGTCGTGGGGTACAAAAAACAGCTGGAAGGGAGAGCCCCGAGCCAGGGCAGGGCACATCCATGGGCTGTGAGGGTGGGCAGGCCCTGGCACAGGTTGCCCAGAGAAGCTGTGGCTGCCCCTGAATCCCTGGAAGTGTCCAAGGCCAGGTTGGATGAGAACCTGCTCTAGCACAGGGTGCTCCTGCCTGTGGAACTGGATGAGCTTTAAGGCCCCTTCCAACCCAAACCATTCTGTGACTCTGTGACTCTGTGACTCCATGATTCTGTGCTCCATGGGGATGTGGAGCTCGGGGCCGTGCAAAGCTGGGATATCCTCACCCTGAGGAGGCTCAGCTTGGCTTAGCCAGGGCGGTGTTTCCCATGCACGTCATCCCTCAGCATCACCCCCCTCCTTTCTCCATCCCACCCAGGGCCCTTCTCACCTGCACAGGGGGTCAGGAAGGGGTGGGAGCGTGGGGCAGATGGCTCTGAGCAGCACCCCAAGCATTCCTGGGTCAGCACATCCAGCCTGGAGCTGGAGCTGGAGCTGGAGCTCAGCCGGCCCTGCAGCCTCACCCCGCCGGCAGCCCCGGCCGTGGCCAAGTGCCCATTGATTTTATCGACCTGAGCGTGGTACCCTGCTGCAGGTTTGCTTCCAGTGCTCACCTCTAACGCGCCTGTAGCTCAGCAATTAATTACCTGCATGGAATAAATTCTCAGACTCGCTTCACTGGGCAGAGCAGATGGGAAGCTGTGCCCGGGAGCTGCCCGCAGCTTCCGTGGGGCTCTGCCACGGCCACCACGAGCAGCCACTTCACCTCCTGCTGCTGCAATTAGGGGCATCTTTAGTATAATCTGAGAGTTTTCCCGCCCCAAACCCCCTCTGGAGCTGCACAGTGGGGTGGGTCCAAGCTGGTCCCTCTGCTGTGCCCAGGCTGGCACGGTGCCACCCACCAAACCGACGGCCTCAGCTCCCCGTGCAGCAGCGTAAACTTTCCTTTGCTGCCCAGCTGAAGATGGATTTGAGCTGGCAAGCTGGAAACAACAGGCTGCCTTGTGTCATCTCCCTCCCTGAACCCCGGCAGATGCGTGGCAGCTCTCCCTTCCCCAGCCCTGCTCCCGCTCCTCTGCCGCCAGCGAGGGCTCCATTAGGGGAAAAGAGGGAAAAAATAAGTTCTGGCAAGGAGCAGGGCTGATGTGTGACACAGAGTTCTGCTCAACAATACAGCAGGTGGCAGGGATTGCTGTGCTCTGCAGCAGAGTGACTGGATCCATGCAAAGCACTGCAGAAGGAGACATCCAGCCTCTCGTGGCTGCCAGGGTGTCCCAGCAGCACTTGGTCCCACTGCCACTGTCCCCAAGCACCTCTGAGTGTTTCCCCTGGGTCACTCTCTTGTTCTCCCCAGTGGTCTGATCTGGCCAAGGGCTGAAAGTTGAAGCCTGACATCGTTTCCATCTCCAGTTTCATGGTCCTGGTCTTCGTGGCTCCTGCCTTTCCTGCCTTTGAACCTGAAATCCAAGATCAGTAGGAATCCAGAGGCATCGGCCTCAGCTCTTCCTGCTCCTCAGGGCCTGATCCAAACCCCACATCCATGGCCAAAATGCTTCCCTTGGGCTCTGTGGAGCTGGGGAGCCCCTCCTGAGGAGGAGGGAGATGAGGGACAAGGGGAGGCCCCAGTACAGGACTTCACTTCCCAGCACTGGGAGCAATGGGGTTGGGACAGGGGTGGCTGAAGGGGATGGAGTGAAGCATAAACCTCCCATTTCCTCCCACTCAGCTGGTTTATTTTTTTTGGAGATCCCAGGGGGATGGATGTGGGGGTGGAGACCCCTCGATGGGATTCATGGCAGTGCAGGGAGGACAGGGAGGATTCCTCCTCTCCATAAAGGTCACCAGCCCCTATTCTAAACCCTGAGGTGCATTAATATTTAATCCTGGGCACGAACAATTTTCCAGGCATATTTTGGTGCTGAAAGGACACGGCCAAGGTGAGCTGGCTCCCCTGTGGCTCTGGCATGGGTGGAGCTGTTGTCAGGCAGCCGAGCAGCGCAGTCCCTGGAGCAGCCACATCCATCACCTCCCCGGGGCATCGCCCACCCAAAGCTCTGGGGCTGCTGGCAGGGACCCCCGGGGGTCTCTGCTGCACCCCAGGACCCCCTGGCCCCTCAGGGAGGGCAGAGCATCCCCCCAGGCAGGGTGTTCCCTGGAGTTTGTGCCGGGCACAGCAGAGTGGAGGGAGCGCGGGGCCCTCCCGGGAGCTGCACTCGCATCCCAGCGGGAACAGGCTCGTGGTGGTGTGGGCTGCTCCATGCCCAGCTGCCTGTGATCCCACATCTGGTCCCCTCCAGGATCCCCATCCTTGCCTCCCACTGGATTTCAGCCCTCAGCATCCCCCCAGTCCGCTGAGAGGTGAGAGCC